ACTTTGTTATTTCACACATACACAGTGGCTGAGAAGAGGGATGTGCATCGGCATATGGGCAACTCCACCCACTTTTCAGAGGATTTGTCGCATACTTCGACTCTTCATAACTTTTTTCATCGTTGTTGTTTTCCTCCCACTCTTCACAGTGAAGGTACTCGTAGGCCCTTCACAAACATTGGCACAATGGGCTCCGCCCCCTCAGCCACGCCCATTTTGCGGCATTCTGTGTAATTTTGCTTTTTTTCAAAATCTTTGCATTTTTGGACTGCTCTGGAGCCCCACCCACTATGAGAAGCCCTGCTATCTCACTCGTCACTCGGAACAAACATTGCCTGGTATTTTTTGCCCATGTACAATGTATAGTCCTTAACAGCTAGTGTGTACGTGCGAAATAATGAATGAGCAAAAAAGACGCTAAAGCGGAAGTCACAAAATGATATTTGAAAGATCGCGACCACGCTGAAATGTGGGCGTGGTCGTAGGAGGGGGGGGGGTCACAGCAGTGTCTAGTGAGGCATGGGCAACCAAATCTTGAAGTTGGTTTGAAAACGGGTGATTTTGGTTTGGAACGTGGTGAATTCGAAGTGAAAATGCCATAGAGTTGCATGATGTTGTATGAGGAAATATGGTACAATGTTCTCGTCATTTTCCTCTTTGAGCGGTGGTGGAGAAAATGCCCCTTCTTCGCCTTTCTCTTCAAGATCCGGCAAATCGTACACGTTTAGCTGAAACACGGTTGATTATTTCTGAAAGTTTTCATCCTGGAACTCACGCATACATGCAATGTCTTGGCCACTCCTGATTTTTTTGCTTCAGCTCTCTTGGGTAGTAACTGCGCTGCTTCAGGCTGACGAGGCGAACGCGCTTGAGCCAACTTTTTCTCGCTGTTGCTCTGCATGAACTTTTTTGCTGCTTCGTGGAGAATTGTTGCAGTTTGAAGCTGAAATGTGTTTTTCACTTCCAATTTAAAGTGCAGGGCAGTGAAAAAAAACTCAAACTTCTGCGAGCGTTGCAATTTCAAAATGTGGAATATGTGTCCTGCAGCGGGTTCAAAAGAAAACTTACAGAAAATGCGTCAGGAATGCTGCTTCTACGATTCCTGATGGCTTTTTTTCGAATTGGAGCCGGGCGCTCAAGGTCTTCCGTGGAGGAGGAGTCATGACCGAATCGAAATCGCGGTAATTCGTCATCGTGATCTGTTGTTGATGACAGACCTGAACAAAGGTGTGGGATGAAACATAAATGGTAGCACAATAGAACGCGACCATGGTTCGAGTGCCAGTATGCCTTTGCCATATTGTGACCGGATATTCACCAAAATATTGGGTTGGCAAGAAATTTCACGACACTTCACCAAATGCCTCTATTCAATTCCCTGGTATAGGGGTGCGCACTCAATCATGGCTTTGCCACCCTTTCTGAAAGGCATGAGTCGTGATAATTTGGTACGTGCACAAAAATTGAAGGGTGCTATATAGAGGGGAAAATGACGAAAAAGCGAGTAAATAGCAGAAAACCTGCGAGAAGCACTGCTTCGTCACGGCATTGGGCGAGCATTTTTGGACGAGTTTCTCGTTACCATCATGCCAACGCCGCCTTGTGTTACGGCTGCACGTATGTATTCATATTCATGTCGCTACACTTCATACTCTTTAAACGAAATGATATGAGTACCAGCGACAAAGAGAGTCCGACCACTTATGGGTGGGCGGTTGCTCAGGGCGTCCGGGTCGGCATATCGAGCCTTGCTTAGGTGATATAATGGTGCCTTTGGTAAGGCACCGTGCGGGGCCTGGTAAGGGTCACAATATATTCTTAGGCGTAACCACCCTGTACGCCATGTCATCGTAACACTTGCCTTTTATTACTAGTTAGTTCACTAGTTTTATCAGAACAGAAATCTGTCATGTCTTCGTTCAGTTCTGCATCAATTTGCACTCACCTGCTGATCCTGGATGTCTTGAGGTATCTGCAAGTGAATCCCTTTGCTTTTCTGGATTTCGTAACCGTCGAAGACAGTTTTCTAGCCATGTTCGAATTGTTTGTTTTGCCACTTCTTCTTCTATGACGAATTCCAATTCCTCTCTCTGAAAATCCATTCGTGGAATTGAGTAATTTTGCAAAAGAAAAACAAGCTTGGTTGCAAGACATCTGGTAACGTTATCAACTTTATGCTTATGAACAGTGCTTAATATAGATGATGTATGATGTACAGTCGTAATCCCAGCAGTCGATTAGGCGGACCGCGAAGGGTAGCAGACGCGGCCGCAGCAGCGACCGCGTACGCAGGAACTGTTGGCGGCGATCAGCTGTTTCCGGCCTTTAGTCATTTTCTCTATACTTTTCACTGTTTTTGGCTGCTTTTCTTAAGGTTAGTTGTTCCTTATCTTCACAAGGTAAATTATGATTGAGATTTCTTTAATTTTTGCGAACAATCGAAGAAGCAGTTGAACAGTTACTTTAAAAAAATCGCAGAAGCACTGAATTACAAAAACAAAAAAGAATCCACGTCTTAATATACTCCATAAAGACAATAACACAACATACCCTGAAAAAATAGAAAATACAGTGAAAATCAGGGATAGAATAGCTAATAGGATCTAACAAAGAAAAAATGTATTTCGTGAAACAAAAATAGACAAAACCAAAAAAGACAAAAATAAACCAGGCTGGAAACAGCTGACCGCTGCGGTCACGACGCCGCGCAGCCCGTGTGCGACCCTTTGACCGCATAATCGATGACGACTGTAATCCCAGGAGGTGCGGGATGTTCCTGCAAGCTGTTGCGATATTGCAGCTCTTGGGAGGCAAAGCCCACAGATATTCTGGATAGTGGTGCTGAACTAGCAATGCCAACATGCCGACAAGGTCAATAGTGCAGAAAAAACAAAAAAAATGGTCGCAATTAGCCCCCCTCCCCAGTGGAACCCCTGTGCGAGCGCACTTGTACGAATAGAGGAAGAGCCAGACAAGATCACCGGGCGAGTGCTGCTATGGTCGATGTGGTTGTGGCCA